AATGACATCTTGACACATTCACCTTTGAGTTACATGTTTTAATATTATATATAGAGTGGCCGGTCAGTCCATGAGTCCCTAATAAAGTATATATATGTAGGAAAGCCTTATTATCCTAATGGAAACGTCATGGCTTTCAGAAGTTACGTGCGAGAAAAAAATAATAAAATATTATCGGCTTGACCACAAGATCGATCATGTTTCGTATATGTGCCACGTCAGTTTATATATATATATATATATATATATATATATATATATATATATATATATATATATATATATATATATATATATATATATATATATATATATATATATATATATATATATATATATATATATATATACATTAGATACATGTACATATGATGTTATAGGCATATAATAAAGCCTAAGAATTATACAGAAACATTTTATCATCTCTTTCAATGTATGACAAAAAAATGACTTCATGGAACGATTCATTTTTGGACTTCATTCCATAAAAAAATCATACAAATAATTTTTAAATTAAAGTTAAAGGTCAGTTATCTTTGTATCGGTAAGTTTAAAATAGCTAAAACAAGTAAATTCTACAACTCAAAATTTGAGAACTCGTTTTTCTTTGATGTTAATTTAATTTACTCTGTTATTATACAAAGGAATAAAATGCTTAGTAATGTTCCAACGAACATCTGCATAGTTTAAAACGAGACTATTTTCTACATATCCTTTGTGAGAGCCACAAAGTCACATTTTTATTCAGTACTCGTAGCTAAGTATTTCGTTTATCTACATACCACTTTAAAACGTACATTTTTAAAATAGAAATGTAGAAGCCACAGGATCTTGTATTTCAGACAGAATGAGAAGTAACGTATTTAAAAAGAAGTGTTAGAAAGAAAATCCGAAAATGTGGCAGTGTATTGACCCAACACTAGCTTTACTAAAATGTCGACGTTTGTGTCCCCTCACTAATCATTCTGACACTGGACTTGGTAACGAAAGAACGTTATTCGCGCCGAAGGATTTTAAGTAATAATGTCTAAAAATATAAAGTATATAAGTAATAATATTGTACTGTCTGTATGTAATATAAAAAAATATATTTCCTTCATATGATGAATTTGCTATAGAAATAAAAATGTAGTTTTCTAAAATATATCCGTTTAGAAGTCCGCATTTGTTCCGGGTAATCTCCAAAACGGCTTGACCGATTTTGACAAGACTTTTACTAGAAGGTAGCTTATATGCGTTGGAGTGTTTTCTGCTAACTTTCTTCACTTACGAAGTCGCGGGCGACCGCTAGTCTGGAAATATGTATAGACAAAGACCTGAAAAATATATAATTTGGTTCGTAATTCAATACTCGAAAAATTAATTCTCTTTGATCACGACGTAATAAAGTTTTTAATTAGTAAATGTGAATTTGAAATGTAATTAATGTTGCATCTCCTCAATTATGATGAATAGCAAAACCTAATTAAAACGTATGCATAGATGAATAGAAATATGAGAGAGAAAATTACAAATTTCGCTTATATTTTTCTATAAAATCGAATGGATTTTTTAAAGCAGGCATATTTTTTACTTAATTTAGTTTTAGATATACTTTACGTACACTAATAATAAGTACAACAAAAACCGAACTAATAAAAAGGTAACTGAACCGCGTGCTACATTTTTGATACAAACTATGTAACTTTCTGTTTGTTTTAGCTTAAGGAACATTTTCTTTACATCGATCCATCAAACGTGACAAAGAAAATTTCATCTATACATCCATCAAAGACATCGTACGAGAAATAGCGACAAAATTCTGTTAAAATGTGATCATTTTTATTTTATTTTTTTCATTACATCGCTTGTTTAATTAAGTCTTAAACATTGTATTAATCTTACTTATTTAAAAAAACTTAATATATAGATAAGTTAAATAAAAAGCAGCTCTTCAAGGCATAAATTAAAAAAAAATAGTATCCTATGTCCGTCTCCTGGCTCTAAGCTACCTCCCCACCAATTTTCAGCCATATCGGTAAAGCCGTTCTTGAGTTATAACTAGTGTAACTAACACGACTTTCTTTTATATATATATTTATGTATATATATGCGAATATTTAAACGGATGGATGAATGTTTGTTTGATGATAACTCCAGAGCGACTGATCGGATCTCTATGAAATTTGGCATACGTACAGAACATAGAAGTCCCAAGGAACACATCGGCTACTAATTATGTTATTTTTTTTAAAGATGGAGACCTGTATTACAGGAGATAGTGCCTTCTCTTAATCTAGGTCTTAAATAGGTTCTATTTTATCCAGTATTTGTATGTGTGCGTGTGTGTGTGTTTGTTTGTAGGTGCGAAAAATATTACTAAATGTAATTAAATAGAAATATGAACCAATTGAATTTTAACACAAAAAATGGCTTCACTACGTGTTTGTTGTTTTTTTTTGTTTAATTTAATAGCGCTCATAAAAGTTGTGGAATCAATTTATGTTCAGCCAACTGACGGGCGCAGACTTCGGAAAGCAATTAAAAATTAATATCTTGCTAAAGGCAATCAGGAAAACATTTTTTTATTGAAAATGATCAAACAGCTTCAAACTTTTTAAGAGGAAATTCTCTTGAAGAAAAGAAAAGACAAACGCTTTCAAGACATATATGTAATATACCAATAATAATTTTTTTATATAAGATAAAGGGGTAAAAAACTGCGGAGTGCCTATTATTGATTGATCCGGCGCCCATGGATATCTGAAAAACCAAAAGAACCGTTGCGTTGCCGACCTCTAACAGAAATTATTTTAGAATCTTTTATTTATTTACTCAGTTAAAACTTATTCAGTTTTAATCTTAATGTTTATTACCTGGAATAGGAGTTCTAAAACCTTCTCTAAAGATATTTTATTGCTGACTTTATGAAATTCCAAGTTATTTCCTAATCCCTTTATAATTTTGAATTATATCCGGGATAGTTGCCTAACGTAAGTACATTGTTATGTTAAATTATATTAATTCTATTGTTACATACATATAGTTGAAATTGTTTCTCTAGGTCGTTTAGTACTTTAGTACCTTTGTTCTGTCGTTAAAATGTATAAAATTAATTTTATATTGAAAGCTGAAGGCCGCTACTTTTTTTCTTTCTGACTTTGATCTACATCTATGCCAAATTTCACCCAGATCTGTTAAGCCGTTCTGGAGATATCTTCTAAACAAACATCCATGCATCTAATATTCGAATTTATAGTATTAGTAAGATTTTATAACCTTTATTAGGAATAATTCCTTACTTTAATATACAGAGTTATTGGTACTTCAACTTTTTTTCCTTTAGAAGCTGACTGCGATAGTTTAAACCAATGTAATTAATTAGAACTAGTAACAGTTTACTAGTAGTCGCATGTACAATAAAATAAGTAATAATTACGACATTTCTTAACTTAGCCCAAATAAAGTTCTTGCTCGAAATAACTTCCACTATGTCGTATTCAAAGTTGTATTCTTTTTCTGAGTTATGTTATAAACCTGTATTTAAAAAAATACCAGTTAGTTATAGACAGCAACATCTTTTTTAATTTGCCAAATTTAAAGTACTTTAAATATTTTAAAGTCAAACCAACCGTACCGCAAGATTTCCACTTCCCGAGCCTAATTCCGGCGCAAACATAATTTTATTTAATTAACTTTATGCCAGAAATATGAACTCTTAACTCGACGTCATCGCGGTAACGAGCAATATTTAGAGTTGCGTTAATTAAATCAAACTTTAGCCATAACCTCTTAATGATACCGACATCAGCTTTAAGTTAGATAAAGGACTATAAAAGAACACATCGCAAGAAAGTTGTTTATGCGTAAATTCAAATGTAATTCTCTAAACAGTCAAAGAGTCAGGTCGACTTTTACCTTCTCTATTATCTCAGCAAACTTTCAGACGACAGGCGTTGAGTAAAAGAATTTTATGTTCTCTTCCCAGTCTACATAAAAGATTTGCTCGAAGAGGGGCTGGACAGGCAAAGGAAATATTTTCTTCATATCCCGTCCCCACGTTGATAAAAACAAATCTTATTAAATGGCATACTCTGGCCGAATTTATCAGAATACCATCTTACTATTATTACGAACGCGACTTTATGAATGTATGGATGGATGAATGTTTATCAGAAATGGAAATCAGAGTGGATCTAGATGAAATATGGCATAGCTAAGATGATTTAAGGTTTTTCAATTCCGCGCGGAGATAGTCGCGGGCGATAGCTAGTTATAACATTAAAGTAAATTTGTTTTTACACAAATTAAAGGCAAGTAAATTAAAATATATTTCTATTTCAAAGAGTCCCGAAACGGACCGCTTAACTAGTATCCATCGGAATTTTGAGTGTTTTGGGTTGTTAACATGTGGGACCGCAATTAAGTTTATACGATGTCCTTCCTTTGAACATGAACGGAACGGAATAGAGTAATGGCGATTCATAAATAATACCCCACTAACTTGTGGTCATGAAGTTCATGAAAATTAAAATCATTTTGAAATAAATTCAATGTTTTCAATTATTATTATATCTTTAATAGTAGAATTTAATAGAAATGAGACACATTATTTATAAATTTCACTAGCTGAAAATAGAAAATAGAATTTTCTTTGCATTTATTTGGAATAATTTAGTGTATTAATTAATAATACAAATATATGTCTATTTTTAATAAGTCTGTGTTCAAAGCTTTATAAAGATAAAATTGTTTAGATAGGTCTATTATAATTTCTCATTTGTTTTCAGTTTGACTAAACGTCACGCTGTATAAACTGGAAAAATTTCCTAATTACGTGTATCTTTTGGCCCAACTTAACAAATATCCAGGTTTGAAGTATAGTGTATACAGTTCAATTAATCAAAAGTTTCAATTTTATTTATTTATTCTTTGCGAGTCAATTATAAGTAGATAGAAGGGTTCCAACTAAAATAAAAAAACGGAATTAAAATATCATGTCATTTAATTTCACTTAAAAGTTTTTGAATATCAGAATTTAAATTAATAATGTTATATACTTAAGGGTGTACTAATGATTCTATACATTTAACAAACAAAATGAAACCCCCAGAGTTATTCATTTCTACATTAATTTCAGCCGTCCATTTAATTCCTTCGATAGTTTTAAATAAAAGTTTATAAATAATTTTAGTTTAGTCCTTACATTAAATATTACAGCATACACACGAATTGGTTTTAACAATTTTAAATATTACATTATCCAATCATCATTCATATCAACTTAATAATCAAACGATTCAGTCATTTCCTTATCTGTTTAATAATTGTATTTAAGTGTTAACAAACATTCCATATTACCTACAACATCTCTCGTATCCAAAGACAATCAAAATTAGCTTAAATTCCTAATATTTTCACACATCAACTCAATAGTATAAATGCAAAAGTCTTTGATTATTATAATATTAAAAACATCTAATTACATTAGGACACCTTCTTCTTGTTCATTCTCTTCTTTAACCATGTACACTGATCTACGAAATACTCCATCACACTTTGAGCTCGATACATGTTGCAACATCTCCGGTAGCGTCTCATTGTCTGAATTTGTCAACGTCTCATCCGTCAAATTCATACTATCGTCCCGTCAAGATCTTTGTAAGAACTCAGGTGCTAATGTCTTCTGTGACGTCACTTTCAACATCTTCTCATGATGTCTCAGACGATGAACGATCTCATCATGAAGAACATTAAAGCACATTGCTGTCAGAGCCAGACCGGTCATTATATAAATGGAACAAAACCACACCGTGCCGCTAGATGCTCCATTCTTCTGTGTTACTCCTGGTGCCAAATGACCGAAACCAATGGTACTGAGACTCATAAAGCAGAAATATACACCATCGATAGGACTCCATCCTTCCAGTTGGTAGAGAACCAATGCGCCGAAGAATATATAAGTAAATATTGCTGCCAAGCACAGTGAAATCGGAGCAAGAATTGAGAGTCCACGGAGAGAAACTCTTGAGTCGGTATCGGTACAACTCATAGAGTCACAGTCTCTGAGAAAACTTAATCCTTGTGTCTTATCCTTGACAGAATTCGTGCTTAAACTGTTCGCTTGGGAAGCTGAAATTATTGTGCCTGACGGCGATCGTACGTAATACGGTTCTTGTAAGTGTAGAGTTTGAGTTCTATAATCTTCTTGTCTTCTAACCTTACCTTTCTGTTCTTTGGTAGCCATCGTATGTTCATCGAGACAACAGTATCCACATTTTGTGCAAAGACAGCAACATAGTGCTCTGCTAAAAACACTCCTTGCAAGTCTTGAAAGAAGGGCACCGACGACAGATAAATACAAAAGCGTTAATGGTATACCTATTACTGCATATCCAATTGTAACTGCTTTACCCAAAGCTGTTCTCGGTGCTACACTGCCGTAACCTGAAACAAATTCACACATACAAAAAACACAATAATTTTTAATGAAAATGAAAACAAAGATAGATAAGACCACTATAGTGCAAAAAGTATGCGGAAAATGTAATTTATATTTCCTCAAAGGCCTTTAAATTTACGAAAATGGGACTACCATAGGAGTAAAAGTAAAATATTTTATGTAATTTAAAATTTGCTACAATGATAGAAATAAATAGAATCTTTACCAATCGTAGTAAGCACTGTCAGGGAATACAAAAATGCTTTTGCAAAATTCCATTCATAGTCGTCGGTAATTAAAGCGGGCGCTGACTCCAGAGCTCTGACTCCTCCGTATTGCTCGGTGACGTCAGCAGCGACCCTCGCAACAAGCTTTTCTTGAAACCTTGCTATCTCTTGAGCGGCCAACCTTGTCCAATTTTCTTTATACAAAATATTCAATGACACCGTTATTTCCCATATACTTTCAACTGTCTGTGATCTTAGTTCAGCACTCGCTTGTGCAATACTACTGTTAACTTTTGACAGAGGTATTGTCTTTTGATTCTCATTGCCATGATATGAAGTAGCGGCTAGTGTCTTTTGATGAACTTTAGCAGCACTGCCTTCGATTGCGAGAAAAATGAATGCTCCTAATAAAGTATAAATTAAAAGTAAAGCAAAGATTCCTAAATTGGTAAGACATCCTGTGATTAAACTTTTCTTTTTACTCTTTTTAGTCTTGAGGCAAAAACAGCAAGTAACCAATTCATCGTAATTCTCTGCTTTGCAGTTTTTCTTGTATTTTCCATTAGCGTTGTTCTTTTTCTTAACAGATTTATCCATATTTGATTCTATCCTCGAATTTGGCACATATATTCCATTTAAATAATGTTAATTCATGTCATTCATTCATCTGAAACAAATATAAATATTATAACATCGAATCTCTTTAACTCATATAAAACTAGCTTCACATTTCGATGTAGTTAAACTTAAATTAAAAACATTTCCAACATTCCGAGAATTATTTCATAAAATCACCGAAGCATTTGACGCGTTAAGAGTGTAAATGGTTGAAATTAAAAGTCGTAAAATCTGTTAAACACGTCACACTTATGTCCAATGCAGCCTTTATTTTAATTACTCAACTATTAGTAGAATTATAGGTTCAGAAAACTTAATGAGCAGTTTATATTATTCCAGTCGAGCTATCGAATCCAGCTCTAGACTACAACTGGAAAAAAGTAAACTCAATTGCACTGTGTAGGTATACATTTTATAAGTTAACATTATAGTGCTGGATTCGTTCGCTAGTTGAAATAACGTAAACTAGGCCTTAAAATATAATTATAATAAAATCAATATAATAACGTTTTGGGTTAGCTCTCCAAATTAAAGATGAAAAAATTGACGACATATTAAATCGACGGCGCTTTCCCAAGAATAAAGAAGATTGTTTGAAGCCTAATAAAGAAGCGGTATAAAATAACAATCTACATAATATTCAAGTGAAATTTATAATCAATTTCAGATTTTATGGGCACGGATCTCGGTTGGAACCCATCGGGGCGCGCGAGGTGTAATGAAATAAGTCGTTTAAATTGAAATAGAGATTTCAATGCTGGAACATTAGGCGCGGAGGAGGCTAAAACGCGGTAATATTGAATTATATCTCTGATTTATGCAAAATCTTTATCAGTGGCGACACCTGGAATTGGATTTTGGTATCACATTACTCGAAGTGAAATAAAAGGGATGCGATTATTTTTTATTCCATTTCAACGGTTCTTATTATCGATTATATTAATATTTATAATATTAAACTTTAAAGTTTAAAATCCCTTGCGCGGCTACGTGAGTGGGTTAAGGCCAGGATGATAATAATCTTAATATCGATAATATGAAAAACTATATGTCTAGACAAAGTTTATTATTACTTAAAAGATTTTATTAATTGTACTATCTTTAATTAATACTATTTTATAAGAATAAGTTGCTTATATTTCTTAGATATATGCTTTATAATTTATTTTCCCAGCTGCGAGTTAACCAAGTAACTTAATATATAGATTCATTAATTCTTAAGCCTTAGAGACTTGGAACTTGTAAAAAGCGCTCAAGGATACTAAACTTCACACCATATAAGACATTATGAAGTTCTCTTTAAGTAATTATAGACTACCTTATGTTGGAAAATCACATTGTATCTCACGTTTCAGCACTTAACTACAAGTTCACATTGTGTAGGTCGACCAACTTCATAACAATACAGACACGGACCTTTTGAAATGGTTGAATATAAATGTGGATACTGCACTCGTAATAAACTGACGTCTGACATTCAGATATGTTCCTATAGTGTTTTGTAATTATATTTCCAATTTATTATGTTACTTGTAATATTATAAAGGAGATATGTTTAGATAGATGGATGTTTGTTTGAAGGTATCTCCAGATCTATGGAGTAGCGGAATAAATATTCTGAAAGTTAATCTATGTTCAGTGCGAGAAACGACGCGACCGCGAAGAAAGCCACTGGCCTTGAAGCTGGACCTCCGACGGGTCCAAATCTAGTTGTTGCCGCCACCGGAAAATTACACGTGATTGTTAGCCGTATATAATTTAGTTTATAATAATTTCTCACCAAAAGTTTGAACAATTTAATATCTCTACCGTTAACATAGTATAAAAAACAGTTCACACTTTATTGCTCCAAGCGTAGTTTATTTGTTGGACTATATTTTCAAACGTAAAAAAATGAAACAGCAGACATCTTGAAGTGACTACTAATAATAACGGGATAGTTACATTGCTGTTTATTTTACAGGAACTGCAAAGTATTTCCAACTTCAGCAACATCTAAAACCCAAAACGTACGGAGTAATAAATTGATCGAGTTACTGTAACAAACTATGAACACATTTTACGAGCAGATTTATCACTCGAAATACCACACAAACGATACGAAATTTGAATGTCCACTTTTATCGTTTCGCAGTTAAACAGTGTATTCTATTTTATTTCCGTAGATATCCGATGTCGTAAACGATCCGTGGTGAATAGTGTTACAGATCGTATTATCGGGGGTTCATTTTACGGGTCTAATGAAGCGTTATTGGCTTAATTCATACCCACCAATTGGCTGTAAACTGAAATTTATTTCGGACCCGTGAAGACATTTATTGTAATCGATACGATTTATTTTATTCAGTATCCAATCGATGTACAAAAGTGATTTGATAGTTTATAACTTAAATTGTTTATTGTGTTAATACAAAAACTGGTTAGAATTTTATCGTCACAATTATTTAAATTTAGATTTCTCATACTAAATTTATACTAAAGGTATATTTGTTCACTAAGTTCATTCATCATCAGCTATCACTATACGTCCCCACTGAGGGGCTCGGAGCCTACCCTAAGTTAAGGGTGACTAGGCCATAATTAACCACGCTGGCCCAGTGCGGGTTGGTTGACATCACACATATCATTGAATATCTTCTCAGATATGTGCAGGTTGCATCACGATGTTTTCCTTGACCGTAAGAACGTCGGATATATGTACATATGTAAATCGTAAAACACATTGGTACATGGTGGGATTCGAACCCAGGACCTGCAGATTGCAAGTCAAGTGCTTGACTCCTGAGCCACCGACACTTTATGTTCACTAAGTGTGATAGTCAATTTACGAAAAGTACACACCGAATTTTATCATGAAAAAGAGGACTACTCCAATTTTCTCTTGAAATTTTCCACGAAAATTTTTACTGTTACATCGCAAATAGGCTTAAAATAAAAATACCATTGAACAAAACGAAAAAGGGGACAGTATAATTGCGTCTTTCGTGATATACTTTGGCGAAAAGCAACCCCTTTTTCACGCCAATTTAAAAAAGGGTATAAAATGCTGAAGTGTTTAGCGGATGAGCCTTTTTCTCTGGTTATCCTTTATCCGGATATAGTCGTTGGGTATCTTATCTAAGAATTAAATTATTTTATTTCTTATACTTTATACGGGACAGAGAATTAATGATGTTGCTTTTTTATTTTTCTTTTATCCTCCTTTCACAATTCTACTTAAATTGTACTTAATCTCTTGCATACTGCATTCCATTCAAATTCTTCGCCATAGACAAACTAAAATTTATGCTTAAGCTTAAACTTTGCAAAACTATAAAACATTAATTAGCCATTATATTACAGTATCGGTTTATATTATCTCAGAATTTTACAATATAACTAAAAAAAAACAAATATCGTAATATCCGTCCTGTATGAATTTCTTCGTCATCTCTCATCATCTTTATCCCACTGACGTGAGATCGTACAGACCAACAGCTCTGTACTACATTGCGTTTTCCTGCTCATCTAGCCTGTCTGTTAATTATGTGTCCACAACTAAACAGATATACAAATAAAATCATACTAATAATATAAATGCTATTATTTAGATGGATGTTTGTGTGAAGGTATCTTCAAAACGGCTGGGCTGATTTCGGTGAAATTTGGCATACAAACAAGAACATAGTCTGGAAGAACACGTAGTCTAGTAATTATTTTTTTAATTTCGCAAGGCCGGATTCACGAGCGACAGCTAGTTTATAAATGAAATTTAATAATAAATTGTAAACTCGTATACGTCTTAATAATAACAGTAAGAAAATTCTTCATACGTATGTAAAATAACCAATGAAGTGCCAAAAATCTCATAAACGCGCTTCACCCTGCGAGACCGTTATCATTTTTATCGTTTTATTTATTACCTATTTTCATAAACTGATAAACATTTTTATAAAAATGTTCACAAAGAGACGGACTGTTTTAAATTTTAATAGAATTTTATACAGAGAATTTGAGATTGATTATTTCCTTTTACTATCATTTTGAAGTCAAAAATATTAGTATTAAAATAAAATTATAAAATAAAATGTCACATGAAATAAATTTCATTACATTATTTTAGAATCGCCATCAATTAATATCCGAAATAACGTTACACGTACGAGAACATAATATTCTCAAAGTTATCAGTTTCTCCTATCCTATATCTATACATTATATGTTTAATTAAAATTATACCAGTAATATATTATAAAGACATTGTATAAATTCATAATATCATACACAGTTATTGTTGATTATTAAAAGATTAATCAAAATATTTTAATAATTAATAAACGTACCTTAATTTAATCCTTCATTTTACTCTTCTGTTAAATCTTTATCTTTACGGACATACTTTCTATTCATCCTTGCCTTGTTTGCAGAATTAATGTTCCGAGATTCGTATTCGTCTTCCTTCACTGTTTATTTATGGTAAATAATTAGGTAAAACTGATGATTTATACCAAGAAAATCGCTATCACCCATTTTCACTTTTTGTAACAAATCTGTCAACATATGTCTTTTGTTTTATAGTAGGTTTTAAGATGTTTGAATTAGTTCAGTCATGATTAAAAACAAACCAATGTAGTATATTTAATTATAAACTTGAATTATATATTATTTTAGTAACTTTGATAACAAATTTAGTCAATACCAGAGACTGGGAGCCGGTCAAATTCCGCCATCTTGACTGAAGTTCTGCGCATGCGTGGTCCCAACCCTCAGAGACATGCGCTTTGAATAAATATTAGAGACAAGACAATAAAAACATTTCCACGTATGTTCTATATTATATTATCATAGCATTTTTGTTTGATATCTTGTTATCTAAAGTTTACAATTATTATTCGTAATTAGAAGCATTACGTAAAACTTACTTAATACATTTTATGAGTTCACAACAGTCTGGAGCGTTAATAAGAGTTGAAATACGTTCTTGTATTCGAGCAATTTTTATTGACAACACGCAGTGGGCGGCGGTAACGTGTATGGCTCGATCAACGCCAACCACTTGATTATGTGAAAAATCTTGTTGACTGTTACATACATACATATTCTATATATGCGATAAAATGTTTCTGCCAGTCAATACAAAAATAGGTTCACAATCGACTACCCAAATTTATTTGATGGGCAAACTCTTGGATGTGTTTTCGTATTCTTGCTTAGTAATACAAAGCATTATTTTTCTATAACAAAGAAGGTGTACCGTAAAATTTAATTTTCAATTGAAATATAATATGATGTGAAAATATTAGAACTTTGGATTTGTACTTTAATGAAAATTATTATGCGAATGTTTAGATGGACGAATGGATGGATGTTTGTTTGAAGGTATCTCCAAAACGACTCCTTGGATCTTGATGAATTTTGGCATAGATTTAGAACATAGTGTGGAAAAACACATAGGCTACTAATCAGGTCCTTTTCTAATTCCGCGGAGACGGAGTCGCGGACGACAGCTAGTAAATTATAATTAAAGATTTTTTTTTATCATCTTCATATATTATGAGTTTTCATAACCGACTGAATTGAACACTTTCAGGTATTTATATATAATAAGCTATTTCAAAACAAACTTTGCACTGCAAACTGTTTATCCGCGGGTTCCTAAGCTAACAAATTTTTGTTTGATAACTTTTAAGAAATCAAAACACCATTTCAATTGCCCTCAGGGAAATGCCAAGTCAAATATTTGAATAATTTCAGTTACTTAGCTCCGAGTTTTAATGTTGTGCGCCATTTGAAAGGTGACTTTATTATGAAGCATGACGTGCCAACGATTTAACCACCATATTTTGGTTACTTGATAGTAAATAAATATACTTAACTTTTTTGGTTAGTTTTTTTCAGAAAGTACAATACAATTTTTGCTTCTTTTTTAAAAAATTCGATGTAGACAAAGTTTGTATAAATAAGTTGTAAAAATTTTACTTTCCTATATATATTTCTACGATAAATAAGCCGAATTCACTACAGTCCCACCTGAATCGTTAGAAATAAATAACATGAAACTTTCCCATCAGAAATTCTTAGAAAATATTACTTAATCCCCTTGAAATTTATACTTGGAATTTACTATTTATTAAGTTAAAACTAACAGCAAACACGATGATTTAGTGTTGATAGTGAATTTATATTTTATTTATTTTTGAATCGACATCACAGGGGACCGAAGAGCTGGCAGCTACCTCGGTCAAAGAATTAGTTAAAATGTCCAAAGGGGGAACGCTGCCAGTATCTTCGGGACCTTGCCTAAAGGGACTCCTTTTAATAATATATTTTATTAAATTGTTCGTTTTTTAATATTTTATTTTATATCATAGATTTAAGACTATTCATTAGATTATTTATATTTCCACATTTCTATGTTTTAATTAATGTCATGAATCCGATTCGAGAAGTGGATTCTCCTTAAATAAAGTCTAAACATTTACAATCAGATATATATCACACATATAACTAATAACAGAAATTAGAATCGAGCTCCGTGTAATTAACAAGCCGCAATCTGCGGTCACAAGTTCGTCAGACATCGTGACTGCGATTTATGTGACCCGATGTACTTCAACTGTTTCTGCAAATAAAAACATTAAATACTATTCGTTCCCGACTACACAGCTATATGTCGAAAATTCGGTTGTATCTTCCAATTATAGCCAAAACTCATTTATGTTTTGTGATCAATTCTTTAAAATAATCATTCTTAAGGTTCCGATTTTGATATTTTTAGTTCCACAACTATTCGTGTAAAAAGGCTTTTATCGAAACTTTTTCATTAAGAACAGTCATCTGTCACAGTTAAACTAACCGTTGCTTTCCGAGACGAAAATCTTTCAATAAATATCCTTATACCTGTCATTACCTTAGACAAAATAGACTAAACAATATGTTTTAAGCGGAGAAGGTTTTGGTTTCCATAAACCCACTGTAAATCAAGTTTTTCTTTTTTGTAATCTTATGTTTTTATATTCTTGATCGCGCGATATCTTTATATATATAATTCTTCTGTGCGTGTGTATGTCACTGAACCTCTCTCAAACGACTGGACCGATTTTGATGAAATTTTTTGTGTGTGTTCAAGGGGATCTGGGAATGGTTTAGATTCACAATTTTCATCAAATATTAACTTCATATTAATTTATTCAAATTAAAGACGTGTAGACATGTCGTCTGTCGGGTCCGCTAGTATTTATGTAAAATGCTTCTATTCCTGGAGACCTATTAAATGCTATGTATTTATTTATTATTATTAAATATGATCTTCAAAAAAGGAACGATGGTCTGCCGAGAAAAAAATACACAAATAAATGTCACGCTGTATCTATACGTATGTAATAAAACATTCAACGAAATTAGTTCCAGTTAGTTGGTAGGCACGTGCGACCGCAATGTAGACGTGGCTTACTTAAACATTAACGTTAGTGTTTTAAAATTACTTAGGTACTCTAAATCTCTAATAACTAAGTACACGGCAATAAATATTTAAGTTTTAAAATGAAAAAGTTATAATTGATTCTAGAAATGCCTTTGAGAAATAACAACAAAGAAAAATTGCATTTTATATTCGCAGTAAATTTTGATTACGCAAAAGAATAAGAATACATTTCAAGATTTAGAAACGAAGAAATAGTTGTCTATTTCAAAGTCGTTGACGTCAGTATTTACCGTCTGCATCGAGTTGACAGGAACGTTGGTGATACAGAAAATTGTTAAAAGCTGCTTTTGTTTTAAGTTAAAAGTATTTTTATATTATATTTTACTATAAAAGTCAATCACTATTAAAGATTTTGTTTTTATTTGACATAAAAACCACACTTTATAGATGAATGCGTAATAAAACATCACTATAACATCATCAAAAACTTTATAGGCTGTTGCGAAAATGATTTCTGTAGTTGAGTTATTCGCATAACTGAATAATGTTGCTTACTGCCTTAGTGGTATAAATTAGTCTTTGACAAGCTGGCATAAGTTAGTCTTTGACAAGCTGGCATGAGTTAGTCTTTGACAACCTGGCATGAGTTAGTCTTTGACAACATGACAGATCTTTATGTTTATAAAAGTTCCCGCGTACGTTAGAGACATTGTGTTTTTCAATGTGTATATAAAGTGTAATAAGTGTGTAATTAAGTGTAGGATTAAATGTGCAGACATAGGATTTAGAGTTGCGTCCAAGAATCTGTTATTCACAATTTGAGTCTACCTACATCTTTTTGAACTGCATTGCCTACGCAAAAGCAAGGTGGGTATTAAAATAATATGTTTTATTTTAGTTTTAAACTATGTTATTTTTTATTTTAACAAATAGTTTACATAAGTTGTATTTACATTTGCTGATATATAATATACGGACAGTAGAAATTCCTAACCGAAGAGAGAGAGAAATTTTAACTATTGCTCCCATAGTAAAACAGTTCAAAGCATAGTTTTCCTTGTTATTTTGCGAAGCTAGCTAAAAGGCAGCTTAGATGCCTGTGGTAACGTTTTTGCTGAAATAAGAGAACACTAGTTAAGTTTAAAATTTAATATAAGTAATTGTTTTCGTAATATAAAATGTTATTATTCTAATGAACTGTTATAAAAGTCTAGCCTTTATTACAGTAAATATTTCTCAGGTACACATATGAATTTATGTAATGAATTATAATACGCCATTTTGAATTTGTTCTAATTAATGGAATAAGCACGAATCTGTCTTCAAATTAGCACAAATAATTTACATACAACTCGAAATACTAAATCGGTCATAATTAAAATTTTAATTTATACACGTTTTGTTTGATAAAATACAAGCTTATGGTAGTGTGTTTATAATTATCTTGTCTCAATTATGTCTGCGATAATTAAATATTCTTGTACTACATCAAATTTAATTTAAATCTGTTTTTAAAATGTTTCCTATTATCTGAAAAGATATATAACCTCTTTAAAAAAACTTTGCTTAAGATGTGAACCAATTTAATGTGTATGTAGATTTAATTTTGTTATTAACATTTTGAAGCACGAAAATTTAAAGCAATTAGTTAAATTTTTTTCAATGTTTAATATTTTCTTTGTAAAATTTATTCATATTAATATTGGAACATATTCTCGGCATCTGTATTACATGTTCTTGTACGCTAATACGTCACATCACTCAAATATTTCGTAGTCAGTTAGGACCGCGAATTGGTTTCGATGCTTCACACGTACATCCGAAAATATCATAACATGAAACTAATAAGTAACAGTAATTAACGCAGGCGTATCGTGTAATTAGTAACCAGGTGTATAACCACATAAAGTTCGTCACGTTACGTGACATGGATTTAATTATAAATTCTGATATAAGCTAAAATTTTTAATAATAAACATACCTTACATTTTATAACGAGCAATTCTACTATCTGAAATAATTGCTCGCTTAATTATCGAATATTATTACGACAAGCAATTTTTCTATATAAAATAATTAGTCGTTTAACTCACTCACTAGACTTAACTAAATGAAACTTAACTAATCCGAGTTATGGTTAATCTGCTCAATAAAATAACCCTCAGTAATAGGTCCAGGAACACAG